CCATCTCATTTTGTGTGCCAAATATATTTATTTGTATAAATTTATTGTATAATTGTAATTACATAATTGTAAATTGTACATAATTGACTTTCAAAAGCTGAAGTGATTACCTTAATTTATTTGTTAGAATATGTATAACTCAATATTTTAACTAATAGCAAAAGCTGAATAATCAATAAATGTCTACTGATTAATCAGCGGAATAATAGATGATCAGTCGATTAATCGGTCTAATAATCGTTAGATTAATCGATTATCAAAATAATCGTTTGTTGCAGCCCTAAAGTCAATGGGACAACCATTGCACTATCAACAGCTTTTACTATTGAGGGAGTCCAAAAATAATTTTCTGTAGTAACTGACAGATGTTGTTCTTAAAGCTAAACTTGCGTTTTAATTGGAATATATCCTTAATATATAATACTAGGGGACAAAAGAACAGGAAAGGCTCAAGACATCTGCAGATCTAAAATAAATGCCTAATGCTTGACTGAACTCTTCAAATAGTTTAAAAAGAAAAAGCTCCAGGGCTTCTGACACAACAAGCAGATTTCAGTTTATCAGACAGTGACTCACTTCTGGTCGCTGTCGCTCGGCTTAGACGGGTGACTGGTGGACGCACTCTTTCCTGAGAGTTTTTCTAAGAGGGGAAAATAATCATCAGCGCACAAAATGCATCACTACAAAAGAGCAAAGAGCCGGTCTCATAAAATGATTTCTAGAACTTACTTTGTGCCCCAAAAGACAGGTGCTGGGCATCCTACAACAAAGATAACAGTTATACATTTATTACACATGACATTGTTGCACTGGTTTTAAAAGCTAAAACAATAGATATAAAAAGTTCAAAATGAATCTGGACACTTTCTGAAACTATATCATCATTTGTTTGCCGAACAAACGAATGCAATGACATTCATAGACTTTGTGCAGATTACGGGTCTAAATATGTTTTTGCGTGTTTTTAGTATTTATGCATGTGGGTATTATTTTCATTATTGTTGTCTGAATGACTCATTGTTTCTATTATATCTTCCAAACATGATAAAAATGGACCGAGGCGAGTGTGCGGCAGGTATCCTGCTGCTCTGTGAGCCTTTCATGTCTGACCTTGGAGGTGGAGAAGGGAAATTTTGATGGTTCTGTCTTGCAGGGCGTGTGAATGGCTGTTAGCGGAGGAGGCCAGACCTGAGTCATTTCCTGATGGAGAAACAAAAATGCAATCGAAAGAGCTTAAGCTCGTTTTGAACAATCTTTTCCTTCAATGCTTTGACAACTCAATGGAGGCCTCCTTTACACATGGCATTAACATGCGTTTCATGGCTGATGTTTTATAGCCGAATTGCATTTGCACCTTCATTCTGAGATCTCAGCGACACTTTACATATGTGACCCAGGAGCACAAAAATAGTCATAAGGGTCAATTTTTCGAAATTGAGATTTATACATCATCTGAAAGCTGAATAAATAAGCTTTCCATTGATGTAGGATGATAGGACAATATTTGGCCGAGATACAACTATTTGAAAATCTGGAATCTGAGGGTGCAAAAAAATCTAAATATTGAGAAAATCACCTTTAAAGTTGTCCAAATGAAGTTCTTAAATGCATATTACTAATCAAAAATTCAGTTTTAATATATTTACAGTAGGAAATTTACAAAATACCTTCATGGAACATGATTTTTGCTTAATATCCTAATGATTTTTGGCATAAAAGAAAAACCGATCATTTTGACCCATACGATGTATTTTTGGCTGTTGCTACAAATATACCCTGCTTCTTG